TAATTATTCTTCTTTCTGTTCTTTGCCCCTCAATGTGTCCTTAAGGTTGTTGATCTCCTGTTTTTGTGTTTTAATTTCTTTTTCTAGAGCAGTAACATCATGGTGATTACACTTACTATGATCTGGTGATGTAAGATTTTTAAGAATCTGGTTACAACCTTCAGTGATCTTTGAGTCTAAATTTGTCATCATTGATGCTTGTGTTTGTTGTATATGTTAAAGTAGACTGATGATATCAAGAAGTGAAGACTGTGGTAGATGTGGTTGTTGTTGAAGTGGTGAACTCAGTAATTCAGGATTATTCCTGACTGGTATTCTGCTTGGAGTAGCATCCTTTACTGTAGGTCTTCTTGTGTCAATTTTAAAAGGTGTATGAATGATATCTTCATCTTTACATGACTTGCTAGGTTTATCTTTGGAGTGTCTGTTGGTCTTGCTAGTTTGTGCTACAGTGTTTGCAATTGTTTTCAGCTTCTCCTTTGTCTCGTCTTCATTTTTCTTGAATTTCCTGTCCACATCTGTCATCTCTAAAGCAAAATATGTTGCTTTATAACGTGAGTTTGGCTGTCTTACACGCTGAGGTCTTTCAGCTATCATTTGTGACACTGTAGGTTGCGTTACCTTTAATTTAATATCTAATAACTGACTAAGTTTTTGAAAGAAAATGTTTCCTTCATTAACAATCCAATTAAAGTAATCAGTGCTCTGTATTAAAACTGTACCATTCTTGTATATTTTAAATGTTACAGTGCTATTATCAGAGTTAATTAGATGAAGTTGTTCACTGCCCTCATTCTTTTTTATACAATAAGTAAACTGTTCTACTGGGTAAACAGATTTGAGAGCCTGGATCCAAATATCCCTGAAATTTGTAGATGATTTAATGCTAACACTACATTTATTAAAAATTATATCTATTTCACTACCTATATACTTCTCAAGAAAATCTTTAACCTGATCATAATTATTTAATGGTTGCTTAGAAGGGGTAATATGAATTAGAGTGAAATCAACACGAAACAGAAGTACAGTGTGTAGTAAACTTGTTAATTTGTGGGTCCATGGGTCCTTTCATAATCGTGTGAAAATGTTACATTTTGTACCACGTAAATATATTCATCGAAAAGAATGGGGCAACCATACTTTTTTGGTCACTGTGGCAACTACATGTATCAGATGATGTCATGGTCCCCTACTGACCACAAAGGCAAAATCAAATCAAATTTACCATACTATTAGAGGAGGACCCACAGACACACAAAATAATAGAAAAGTTTATTTGGACTAAAAAAGGCCCTTACCCTACAATTATAGAGCTCATATAACCTTTTCGCCACCAGTTCCGTCTTTTCATGACAAATTCACAAAATAGACGTGTTTATAGTGCACACTTTCCGAAAATTGGGACAAAAATAGCCAAATTTTTTGAGTAAAAAACTGAAAATTGACTGAATTTTGGCTGAGTCAATTAAGTGAAAAAATGTAACAAAAAAAAAGCACTGTCATTAATGCTAATTCATTTTCAAGAAAGTCTTCTTTTTACTGTGGGTGTACAAAGATGCCCATAGATTTACAGCTGAAGTTACTTCAGTTTGCAGCTTTGTAACGATAGATATTGAAACTAGTGGACATGCAGGAGTGTTTTTATGTGGAAACACTTTCTACTGTCGATGTATTAGCACAGGGAAGACTACTCGTATGTTGGCCTGTACCACCTGTAGTCTCAAGACAATGTAGTTTTAGGCACATTGTTTCATTACCTAGAGTATGAAAATTGCAAAATTGAGAAAAAGGCTTCCATCCACATTAAGTATTAAGTAATATCACGTTTATCTAAGACAATTCCACATATGGCCTTCAACATATAGCAAAAAGCAATCTATTTGCGTAATACAATTGTATATAAGAAAAAAAAAATCCTAAAGAGTTTCGTGAAACTGTATTAAGCAAACTCAACTAAAAAAAATCATCATAAAATCAGTATCGGTAAAATCGTTAAAAAAATTAAACTGATCTTCAAATTTTATTCTTGCCCTCAAATGACTCACTGGTAGACAGCGTTGGCTTTTGACAACAATGCGAGAACAGAAAATATGACAAATCGTGGGGGCGAACGAACGGAGATGACAGTGTTCGAAATATGTCCACTGTGACAAACTATCATGGCACAACTTGTCTTACCTGTATTTACATGAGCTAGACGAAAAGCTATGGTTGGTTGTAGTCCAAATAGGACAGTCGTACTTTCAACCAGTAAGATGTAACGTTAATGAGAAAAAACGCTCTGGTTGGTGTTCGCGGACAAAAGATGCACAACAGCGCCACCGCCGTTATTCTTATTTACGGTGTCACCCAATATCAATATTCTAGGAACAACAACTATTACACAACATATTGGGGAGGAAACTTATTTTAAAACGTTAAATTGATAATAAATATAATGATAAATCGCACAGGAACAAGCATAGATTTGAAATTTGTTGCGAAGTTTCATGCATACGTGTTCGTGTTTGGATAGTGTCGGGAGAATAAACGATTAATGTAATGGCCAAATGGAGATTCTGTCGTTTAGTTCCTGTTTTGAAAGCCCTCTAGTGTTAACCCCTTCAGATTTTTTTGTTTGTATGTCTGAAGTTTTAATTTGAAATAGTCTGCATTTTGTGGTCACAATGGATTTAGCGCAATGGAACAATTATTGTTGCTATGTCTGTAATATAGCCAACTAATTATTTTAATAGGTTTCGATATTGTTAGCTTTCAAATCGGACTACTTCCGGGTTATTGTGCGCCATCTTGGTTATTGTTTCATACCTTGAGATATTATGTTACAGTATATGTAACTGCCAGTGGAAAAGTTGTGTAAGATATGTTGATATACGTGAAAGTCCTTCAGTCGAAAGGAAAAGAATGCAGTATAGAGGTATGTCCGCAAATGTCCTGTCATATTTAATGTTATGTTGACGTAACTATAAAACCAGTTGGAAGTTTAATGTATTTTGAAAAAAAAAAACTCCACAAAAAGCACACAATTTAGAAAATAGGAAACTTAACATTAAAAAAAAGTAAAACGAACAAATATTTAGGCATAACCATAGCAAAAACACTGAATGATCATACACAATTTACTGAAGTGTATAAAAAATGAATGACAATCTTAGCATGTGAGGGCGCTTACGCTGATGGCAAGTCTGTTGGGATTTCGCGGCCACTATATGACTTTCGCGTTCACCCCTCGTTTACGCAATTTATATTTATTTTTCAAGAATGTTTCATCGGAATCGCAACAGACTGCAAGCAAGTCTAAGTATGGTGATGTGTTATGGCATAGCATAATCATGCCATTAATGAATTATGGGTGTGGAATATGGTTTCAGGATAGCAGAGAAATTACAAAGTATTCAGCATCAATTTGGGAAATTTTTATTCAAAGTAAATAGAAATGTGGCAGGACCTGCAGTGTTGGGGGACATAGGATGGGAAGACTTGAATTACATCCAAGATAAAGTGTGGATTTAATACCTGGGTAGACTTGAGAAAATGAAAAACAATAGATGGACTCAAATAGTTTTTTAAGAAATGAATACTGGCTTGGAATTGGTCTAAATATGTAGGAAACATTCTAGTGACTAATGGCATGGATCATATCTATGGAAATGAAATACCCCAAAATCCAAAATGGATAAGAAGTTTTATCAAAATCAGTAAAGAAATCTTTGTAGGACATCTAATCATATAAGAAAGGAAGAAAAAACTACCCAATGATTAGACCTAGCCTGCTAAATAGAAACATACCATTGATGAACCCAATGCTGCATCACCTGTTAATGAGACGGCACTCAGTGATCAGACCATGCAAAGATCAACGACACAACGAATGTTTTCAGAAAATAATGATGTATTTCCAATTTGATGACCTAAAAAAAATTAGCCACACCATTGACAATGCCAGGCAGATCCATCTGTCTATTAATTTGCCCACCTATTTTATTTTCAAAAACTAATTACAGCAAGTCTCAGAAGTATTGGGGCAGCCAATTTGCAAACTTGCTTGTGAATTGGCTAACTACTTCGGTTTTGACTGAACGGTTGTTTTTCGAATTTCGCTGGTTCCGTTCGCTCACTTAAAATCCAAAAGAAAAATTAAATATCGCCATATAACTTGTTTTCAGTATGTGTTTATTGTGTTCACATAACCATCAACTTGGGTAGCTGTGATCACCGGTGATCGTCACAGCTAGCAGAGCTTTGAGTGGGAAAAATAACATTTCATTCACTCATATCAATAAATCTTTTTGCTGGATATTTATATAGTCAATTATTAATATGCATCGAGCAGTAAATATATATTGTGAATTTCCATGATACTTTGTAAGCAATAATATCGAATCAGTATGATAGCCACAGAGTTGAATCGACATGTGTCTGTCATGTTTGAAAGTAAATTCATTCCATACAAGCATCTACTGTAAAATACTTTATTTTAGCTGGAATTAATTTTAAATGAAAAGACTTTTTGGGTGTTTTGTATGGAATTTATTTTCACTGATTTTTGACAAGTTGAATGTAAAATATAGGAAACCTGGTACTGGTATATTCCCTAAATTTTATTTTCTCTGAATCTTTCCTTCAGCGAAAATAGTGCAAATTAAATCCAAGCAAAAATAAAGTATTTTACAGTACTGTGTGGACCACCCGGGTGCATGAATTGACGATTTTGATTGGCCAAGCACGTTAACGCCTGTCATAATTCTGTGATGAGTAGAGCTTCCTGATAGCAACATGTTTAAAAAAAGAAAGAAAAACAAGCCCAAGTCTGTTCTGTCATAGTGCTGTTGCTGGTGTATTTTGTATTATACTGAAAAGGCAACCAGTATGAGAAAAAACAGTCCCCATTACACGTATCATTTGGTACAGTATATCTCTTTGGGAGGATTTTTGACATTTGTTTGGTTGCACCAGGATTTTTTGCTGCAATGAATATTCAAACCCAGAGCTAACGTGAATTATGGATTAAAAATGCTTGGTAGAAGTTAGTTGAATGACCGTCAATGATCTCGTTCAAAGTGTGCATCATTATGCTATTAACAGGGCTGAAAACCATCTTATTTAAAGCAATGCCAAAATAGCCAAAGCGATTGCTGACCTGCTCCTAGACGATGATTGGTTTGAAGCCTTCACTGTCGGTGACCTGTCAAACACAAATTACCGGTAATCTAGTTGTAACTTTTTAGAACACTAACAAAACAGCCCTTTTCAGGGCCACCCATATCCTCCAAAAAGGGGTATGGCATGTACCAAAATATGTGTGTGTAAAAAGTTCCGTTTTGAAAATTGGACGGTTGTTGCCACACATTGACTGTTTGTTTACATATTCATTGCAAAACGGTGCACATTTGCTCCTTCTCTGTCGCACAAAATACAGCAGTCTCACTGATTGGCATTTTTCTTCCTCGCGACCAATTGAATGGCTAGAAAATAACATTTTGAGCGTGGCGTGATGCATGGCTTTTGGTTGGGTTGCCTGCCATCTGCTCTGCTTCCCTGCGATGTTTCTTGTTAGTCACAGTCCCTAAACCATCCAAAGATACGAAAGAATCTTGATCACTATTAAATTGGTGAAAACACAGTCACTCTACTAGGACGGTTAGGAAGCACTATTATTGTTAAAAGGTGTGAACGAGCAGTTTCTGAGAACCTAGGCTGGTCTCAAAACTATGACGTAATTGTCACCAGAGGGCGCATTTTTTCTCCATTATTCATTGCGTTCGATGTTGCTCGAGACGACCGTGAATTTTTAGCTCCGCTGTCGACTTTGTCGAGCGGAGCTTATCATATGAGTGATTGTCTGGCGTCGTCCGTATCAATGTTTTACTTTTTCGTCTTCTTCTTGAAAACTACACGCCTGAATGCTTTGATACTTGGTGTATATGTACCTTGGGTAGACCTCTCTTAGATTTGTTCATTTCATGATGATATCTTCAATTCTCTAATTTTGGTGAATATTTTTGTAATTTTTGGTAAAAAGTGATATTTTCAACTTCTTGTTAAAAAGCGCAAGTCCAATTGCTTTGATATTACATAGATAGGTACTACATGTGGACCTATCTCATATTTGTTCATTTTGTAATGATATCTTTAATTCTCTAATTTTCATGAATATTTTTGTAATTTTTGGTAAAAAGTGATATTTTCAACTTCTTCTTGAAAACCGCAAGTCCAATTGCTTTGATAATACATATATAGGTACTACATGTGGACCTCTCTCAGATTTGTTCATTTTGTAATGATATCTTTAATTCTCTAATTTTAGTGAATATTTTTGTAATTTTTGGTAAAAAGTGATATTTTCGACTTCTTTTAAAAAAATGCAAGTCCGATTCCTTTGATATTATACATACATAGGTACTACATGTGGACCTCTCTCAGATTTGTTCATTTTGTAATGATATCCTTAATTCTCTAATTTTTAGTCCCTGTTCAGGCGCAGCCT